AGGAAGGGAAGTATGCAAAGAAACAGATGGGGTATTTTAACGAGGTTTTAGGAAGCATCACCTAAAACACTGCTTGTGCATCGATGATGCTTGAGTGTTCACGACAGCCACCCCCGTGATGCAGTTGGCAGCGGGTTCCCAAAATGGAAACTATTCATCCCACTGGAAGGGCACAATGGGAAATTTCACCTTCCACTGGTGCTACGCTGAACGCTAGCTACTTAATGGCACTCAGGTTTTTTTAAAAGAACAAAATTGTTCCCTTATTGTCCTTTTTTTTTTTTTTTTTTCCTTTTGGGTTGAATTTCTGTGCTCGGCAATGGCTGCCTCTTGTTCCAGGCACACAGCTCGCCAGCCTGCTTCGATGGCAAGATGTCCCCTGGATGAACCTCAGCTCTGTAACGCTGAGAATCAGGATGGCTTACGAACAGAATGAATCAGGATGATCACAAGAAGGGAAAAACACTCCACTTTTCCTTCCATGCTATGGTCTGATTCATTCTGTCAAAGCCCAGTCCAGCAGCATCTGTTCACAGAGCAGGCAGAAAAGAGTCCACAAGCGATCGCAGAATCACAAGCAGGAAGCAAAAAAGAAGAGCTGTGCGCTCCAGCCTCTATGGTCAAAGGCCTCGTGGTGGTCAGGGTGCTGCCTCTCCACTGCTGGACGTTACTTGAAAGTGGCATTAAACGCCCTGCCGATGATCAGTCTGCGCACTTCACTGGTGCCTGCCCCTATCTCATAGAGCTTGGCATCACGCAGGAAACGCCCCATAGGATAGTCATTGATGTAGCCGTTCCCACCTGCAAGCAAAAAGATGTCCTGAGTCATTTCTGGCTTCAGGGGCTGAGGGCGGGATAGGAGCGAGCGCTACTCTTGCACCGTGCTTGGCTCTCTCCAGCAATTGCTCTGAGAAACAAACACTGCCAGTGACTTACCCAGGCACTGAATCCCATCCAGAGCCACCTGGGTAGCACACTCTGCTGAATACAGGATCACTCCGGCGCAGTCCTACGGGAGAGTCACGATGATGACAGAGTCAGCAAAGGTGTCACCTGCCCTTCTCCAATCTCTGTGTTGCTCTGACCTTTCCATTACTCCACAGACATCTGCTAACAAGCCTAAAATACTTGATCACAAAGGCACAGGATTCGTTCCCCAGTGAGCAAGAAACTGAGGCAGTCTTTCTGTCGCTACAGAACACCTGTGTCAGGTCTGTAAAAGCCACATGAAGAGAGGAAAAGGGGGAAAAAAAAAAAAAAAAAAAAAAAGGAGTGCAGCAGGGGAGCTGGTCTCTCACGAATGCACATCATTCCCATAGGAGACCGATGTGATTTGATTTGGGATGCAGGGCTCTGTGCTCCAACTGTTAAACACTCGGTCCCCTCCTTTGATAGAGGTGTGGTGACAGTGCCGATTGTGGAGATGACAACACCTCGGAATGACTGCTACAGCCCCTTAGGATAGCCAGGATATTGTGTTTGGGCTGCCAATAAACACCTACTGATGCTGCTAAATCTGTTGCCTTGTAGAACAAGGCTTTCTTTTTCTTTGGGGGGGAGGAAAAAAAGCACTTAGGACTGTGAGCGAGTCGTTTTAACCTGAAGTACAGAACCCGCACCCTGCTTGTGACCCAAAGGGAAAGGAATTCCCCCAGCAGACAAGTCCAGGTGGAAGGGAGCTCACCTTTGCATTGAAATGGCCCTGGTCACAGGCCTTCGCCACGTTGTAGACGTACTGCCGACAGGCCATCAGCCGCGTGTACATATCGGCCATTTTGCCCTGCATGAGCTGCATGCCACAGAAGACAAGAGAGACAGTAACGTGAGCGAGGGGAAGATTATTTTCTCTGCACAAGCGCTGGGAATCCCCATTCCCCAAGCCATCTCAGAGACAAACGAGAAGACATGGATTCAGCAGACATATGAGGGAGCTGGAGGTTGTGTCAATTCACAAACGCCCAGACGTCAGCCGCAGTCCCTCACCCACCAACCCTTTCCCCTTCTCACCACAGCATGATATCATGCAGCCCCCGCACAAACTCCAGGCAACCTTCTCCAGGCAAAGCCCTCCCACGACCGAGCTCTTTGCCTTCTCATTTTTAAAGAGTAAAGCAAGACGACAAAAATTTCTAATTCCTTTTCTGCCTCACCTGGAAGTGGCCAATTTTCTGTCCAAATGCTTCTCTTACATGCAGGTATGGAATTGCGTGGTCAAGAACAGCTTGCATGAGCCTAAAAAGTACAGATATGCAGGGAAAGGAAAAGAACAGAACTATTAAATAATAATAATAATTAAACCTTGGAAGCGCAACCTAAGGCAAAAAGGTTCTCATACCTGAAATAATATGCTGCTGTCTTCCTATAGCTCCACTCAAACAATGCTAAGAATAAAATCCAAAGGTCCCATTTTTTCTAGTCCCTCATGCTCTACATATTGCTCATTTGGGACATCTTGTGGTAAGGCCTTACCTTCTTAATTCAGGGGACTGAGAGGAAGAGTTGAAGAGCTTTCTTACAACTGTAGCCAGGACAGTTTGAACTGCCTTGCGTCTCCAGAGACCACCAAGTCAAGGACTACTAGCCAATACCACAAAAAAGCATAGGCAAGAGCAAGAAGGGTGAAAAATCCTCCTCCTGCTTTGTGGAAGATGGTCTTTCCACATGAGGATTAGTACAGAAAGACCACTTGGGAGGACAAAAGGACCGCAGGGTAAAAACAATTAGCGGGGAGCTTAAGGACTGAGTAAGTGAGGACCAAACCCTTTACCCAGCCCAGCGGTCCTGCTGCATGAAAGTCTGGATAGCGTTTAAGATTTTAAGGAATCAGTAACACAAATGAGCTGGTTATTTCCAGCATAATACCCACTGCGGGGATAGACAAGCAAGGAACCAGGGACCAAGGCTGATTTACTCTCTCAGGAAATGTTTAGGTCAAGATCAATAAAAGCATGCTGTGGAGGGTCTGTGGCCTATGCTATGCTGAAAGGCAGAGATTTGCAAACTAACTTTCCGGCATGGCTTTTTCTAACACTTGCCCCTCAGAGGATGTTCCACATAAATGCTTTCAAACTGGAAAAAACTGCCTGAGGAGCGGAGGGGTGAGGAGAGCTAAGGGAAAAGGTGGAGCACACACAGAGCAAGCTGTGGCTGCCTGGGGGTGCTGAGCTGCATACCCTCCGGCAGGAATCCATTGGGGCAGTGAGCAGCTACGACACAGCCAGACCACCCAGCAGCTGTGGGACCTCCCTGCTCCTGCCTCTTCCTCCTCGGCTCTCTCCCTTCCCACAGCTCTGACCCAGCCACCTCCTCCCAGCCTCTCCTTGTCGCTCAGAAGCTGCCCCAGTATCTCAGTTCTCCATCCAAGATGCATCCTACTGAGAACTGCAACCCCAGTGGGAGACCTGCTGGGCTAGGTGATCGTGAAGGATCCTTCTGGCCTTAAAATCTATAATTATAAAGTTGACAAACCCTTACCCCAGCGGCCCGCCAGAGAGCACGAGTCTTTCCAGGTCCAATCCACTCATCAGAACATAGACTCCTTTGCTCAGCTTCCCCAAGACATTTTCAGCTGCAATTGGCAAAGGAAAGTGATTTACTTTTGGGCAAAACTAAGACAAGCTGTTGTCTGAAGGCCTGTGCTTGCTGGGCAGAGGATGCAAAGTTTCAGTCCCTTCTTTTTGGCTTGAGACACAAACCTTCAGGATGAGCTAGCTAGACAGGCGCCAAGTTTTGATATATACTCCCTACCACTGAAATGTCTTTTCAATCCAACCAAAGCCGAAAAGCAAAAGGCAGTAAAGGATTATAAAGTGCATCTACAAGCACTGCTATTCTCTTGCCTGTTTTCTAAAGAGTAAGGTGCTCTCCAGAGATCTTCCAGCTCCGCATTTGTACCAACAAGAATAGGAGACTTAGTAGCCTGGGAGGAGAAATCCCCTTCCCCATCCCATTAGTTTGTATCTAACCCAAACTGACAGCATTACCATCCGATGCCTACCGAGTGTGTGTTTGAAATGAACGTAAATCCTGGCGTGAGATGCTTGCGTCACACCTCTGAACGTTCCCAATGCAGGAACCCAAGCTTACACGGGCAAGCAGTCAAAGCTCACCACTTATCACATGTCGCAGTGATGTGTATTAGTCTCCTGAGTTTGGAGAATACAAACAGACGTTATCCTCCCTTCAGTGAGGGGGGCTGAACAGAACATTGCAGTGGTTATAAATGTTTTAAAGAGACAAATATTATTTCTGTGAAAGCGGAACGGGAAAATAGCCACATTAGATAATGGGCTGAGAAAAAAAAACCCAAGAAGCTGTTTCACTTTGTGACAATCTAAAGCACGGGGTGATGTCAACAAGTATAAAAAGAGAAGCAGGAACAAAAGGCTCATCTCAGCAAGGCTGTACTCTTACAATCAGGAGAGAATTTAAACCCTAACAACTGCGCTTTGTAGATGGACAGAGATTATCCACTGATCACGCCATACAGGAGAACTGACATATACTTCAGGCTTTGGTCACAAGAGATCTGAGAGGTGTGATATGCAAAGTGAAAATGAGACAGGACTTGGACACACGCAGATAGTCTCCTGAAATAAATAATCTGGTTTTCAGTGGCAGAAGCTCATGGACTGCGTGGTCTCCTGCTTATTGAAAAGCATGCTGATGTAGCATATGGAGAAGCGCAGTCTCTGCAGAGCCATCATCGTGATACTGGAGCTAGAAAGAGGAAGAAGAAGAATGAAGCTTGGCTTTCAGAGAAAAAGCTCAAGAGTCCTGCAGACAAGCAAGAAAAATACTAATAGCAAACATTACTTTGAAGAACAGAACACAAACGCCAGCATCAGTAATAATAAAGTGACAAAGCTGTTCGTGAGTAATGACATCTCACAGCTAAAAAAGGACCGAATAGCCAGAACGCTTTCCTGTACGCCCAGGGAAAAGGGCTGGATGGGTATGTGGTGAGCTGAAGGATCATGTGCTGACTGCACAAGGGGGGCAGACCTGCTGGCTGTGTATCACAGCAAAAAAGGGAAAAAAAAAAAAAAGCACTGGGGCTCTGAACCAACTTTTACCAACGTAACACAACCAAATGACTCCAAGGCCACCACTTACTATGAGGAAAAACACCAGCCACTCAGCGGAGTATGGCTGAGTGTGAAACCCACGTGTTTGAAAGTGGATGGAATTGCAGTGCTAGAGGACATCTTGATCTGAGAGAAAGATCCTGCAGGCATACGAAATGGCATCAAACTGGTACAGCTTCCAAGGCAGAAGATCAGAAGCAGCATTAAAGGCCAGAGTGCAAAATGTGTTAACTTCCAACATTGCAGGGATGTGCTTCTCCGAGTTATCAGAAAATGGAAATCCCGTTACCATGAGAACATGCTGTTCTGTACGGACGAGTACCCAGGAGATGATCTGAAGTCTGGGCCACTGGCCTTTCTGATTTCAGAGTGTAAGGATCCAATAAAGTTAGAAATGTCATGTTTCAGCTGAAACACTTCCACTTACTGCAAAGCCGCTTTTGGCAGTGTACAGGGAGCAGAAGAGTTACTTGCTCTGCAGATACACAATTAGGATTTTCATGAGTTGAGGGAAGACATCTCCACTTGCTGTACAGAGGCTGTAATTCTTCTATCAACAAAAATAGCCACTGGGGTAACAAAACCAGCCATTCAAGTGGCCCCTGCTGTACTAACTAATGGGGGAAAGGATGTCCATTTTCAGGGCCTGACCCCAAAAGAACTCAAGAAATGTTACAGGCAAACCAGAAGTCTGTTGGACAGTCTCCAGTAAGTTTGAGGGGGGGAAAAGCCCAAACAAAACAAAACTTCAAGACAAATAAACAAGCCTTCCTATATAAAAGACAGGGAGCTCTAATGGAAAAACACAAGTTTCTTTGGAAGCCTTACCTAGGCTTTGCAGAAGCAGTGGTTAAGAGTTAGGTCCATGAGGGTGAAACAGGAGTGACCTAACGAGGGATGTTCTCCTTCACTGCAATCCAGCAGATTGCACTTTTCCAGTTTCACCAGCTCTCTGGCGAGGCTGCCAAAGAGCAGATAACCATCTGCAAAACCCTCTAGGTCACAGTCTCAACGTGCATGCAATTAGTGATCCAATTTATCTGATCAAGAAGACAAGAAACCGCCACATGCATACTGCCACGATTTGAACCCAGCTCACCGGGGATCTTGCAGTCTTCAAAGATCAGTTCACAGGTATCAGAGCCTCTCATTCCCAGCTTGTCAAGCTTCTGGGCTGTGCTGAAACCTGGCATTCCCTGCAAAGTCAAGACAGTAAAAATACATTTCATCTCTCAATTCTGACAGACTAAATAAAATCACCAGAGATCTGTGAAATTTCCCTGACCGCATGAATCATAGAATGGTTTGGGTTGGAAGGGACCTTAAAGACTGCCCAGTCCAACCGCCCTGCCATGGTCAGGGACACCTTCCACCAGACCAGGCTGCTCGAAGCCCCATCCAACCTGGCCTTAAACACTTCCAGGGATGGGGCATCCACGACTTCGCTGGGCAACCTATTCCAGTGCCTCACCACCCTCAGAGTGGTCCCCATGAGGACTTCTACCCCATGAACACGTGTAGGGTACCAGAAGGGAGTCAAAGCGCTCTGCCCACGCTGGGAACCAGAACGGGTGTCAGTGTAAGTGCAGAGGAAGCAAACGAGCAGAGAAACACACACACGCAGGGGCACATATGAACAGAGTGCATCCGTTTTCTAATGCACATAAATATAAAAATAAATAAATTATTTGGACAGCTGCATACACTGGCTCTCCCTGAGTAAGGGTTGCAAGCTTTGCCAGCAACTGAACGATTCTAATTGCTAAGTCAGGTTAAGTCCATCAGAAGGTTTACTGTTCTCAGAGATTTTATATTTCTGGTACCATTGACTTTATTACAGCTTCCTGTCTTCCTTGTGGTGACAGAAGTGTGCATAGCACAGCCTCAAATTAAAGTGAAAAGGGAAGAAAAAACCCGGTAAGATTTCTGTTTTCCAAGCACTCCCTGCTGACCAGCCCGTTTCTGCTCCCTTTGGCCTGCTCTGCTTTGCATCCATGTTGGGGTCATCTCAGGATTCCAAAGGGGCAGTGCAAGAAAATGGGGAAAGAAATTAATAGAGCTATTTTAATGTCTGGGCTTAACCCACCCCCACCCCAAGTTAGATAATGGGATAGTAGGATGTATTTACAAGGCCTCCAATATCTCTGACAATTTTTGGCAACACACCTAATATAGAGTCTTGTCCATTCTCTCCACATTTCTAGCCCAGAAGACTGGCTGTATGCTTCAATACCAAAATTCAAGAGTGCCCGGCTGACAGCGCAACACACCATGTCACTTGGACAGAGGACCAGTTTCATGGCTTATAAAATTCAGGCAGTAAGCAGTTTGTCTTTGAGCAAGGGGCTGGCAGTTACAAAGAGTAAACTAGCTGGCTTTTAAGTGAGCCAGTTAGGGTGAAGGAGTTAGCTTTAAAAAAACCCCACACTGCAATAAGCTTGTGAGAATTATTAAACCTACCCTCTCCACAATGAACGCAGTTATGCCTTGGGAGGCTGGAACAGCATTAATGTCAGTTTTAGCATAAACGATGAGAACATCTGCATGTGGCCCATTGGTGATCCAAAATTTGTTCCCATTCAAAACAAAGTAGTCTCCTAGAAGCAAAGAGCTGCAGTCTGTTAGCTCACAGAGCAACATCTATATCCTCCCTCCATTTACGTCAAAACAGGCTTCCAAGAACGTTCTTTAAGACCCCCACAAACAGCATGCACAAAACCCCTTCCCAAGTTCAAGAAAACTGATTTCCTTCATTTCTGCAGTCCAAAGACAGTTTAACAAATGCCTGACAAACTAAGGCACCTAGCACTGGTTCCATAATACCACCAACCACCATAACCAGAAGTCCACTTTTAGACCTTCAACCACGTATCTTCATGACCTGGCTTTACCACATGTTGAATCTCCTGGGAGGCAGCACAAGCCTGCAAACACGGCCTGGTGTACCCAAGACTAAGCACTGTATCTCAGTGGTGTTGGGGAGGTTAGTCTAAATTTACAGGAGACCTTATTTACATCGGTTATCTATCCAGGCAGTACACAACAGGCTTTACCTTTCTTATCTGCTTTCAGCTTCATGGACACAACATCCGATCCAGCATTGGGTTCGCTCATTGCTAAGGCTCCAATGTGCTCCCCGCTGATTAGCTGGAAGAAAAGGCAAATGTAAGAAAGGGAGGAAGAACAGTAACATTGCTTCTGTTCCCTCTTTAGCCTGCCTTCCATTTTTTTTTTTCCTGCACGGAATCTCCACAGTAGCTGTCCTATGCAAGAACTGCAAACGAGAGCTGCTGTTCCTGGCAGAGTCCTAGCAGGGAGCTCCCTTGTGCTGCTCTGCAGAGGGAACAGAACCAAATCACAGTGGGATGAGAAGGATGACTCAACTCACGTCCGAGCTCGATGAGTACAGCCCTCCAGGAAGGTGCCAAAAGAACCATGCAGGCAGCCATATGCCTTTCACAAGCTCCTTGTTCTGCACTTCATGACTGCCCTTTAACAGTTCTTGTTTATGTAAAACACAAAAGGCCAACGAGGGGGATGAAAAGAGATTGCAAAGTTCTTAGCAATGTTCTCACAGCCTGGTCCCCACACACTCACACTACAATAGCAGATGGACACCCTCCCTCTGTGCCTGCTCATACCAGGCGCTGACATAGCTGTTGCTTCCTCTTCACTGTTCCTCTCATCCTGCCCTTTTCTCCTTGCCTTTTTTTTTTTTCCCTTGCTGTGCACTTTTATCTGTCATCTTCTCCTCCTTTTGGTCTCTTATTTTTTTAAAAACAGACCCAATGCTTAAGATACATGTTCAAGCAATTCAGTCCATTGGTGCATTTCTACAAAAGTCTTCATGGTACGCTCAAAACTAGTTAAAAGTACCATTAAGTACTCTGACATGAACCAAAACAAGTAAGAACCAAAGTGATCACACATCCCGTATTGAAAGGCAGTGAATGAGGGCATTAAAATACACCTGGGCAGCAGTGAGGACAATTGAGGGTTACATATCAGCAGGTTGCGCAATGCTTTGAGGAAGTGACACTGTACTTTGCATGCGGTTTAAATCAAGTTTCTTGTGCTGATAATTTCGCTGATAATTTCAGCAGCTGGGATTCCACGTACAGTTAAGTTTTTCCACGCATTTAAACACTGAAATCTGTTTAACATGCTTTTGAGTCACAAACATCGATGCCCCAAATGATGAAGTTTCACATGTAGTTAGTTAGCACAGGCAAACCAAGCATTCGGGCAGTGAGAAATGGAGAATATAAAAAAGAAAAGCCATGAGCTTCCTTCAGAACTCTCAAAACAATTTGGGAAGCTAGAAGAATATCATCCAGCGTCACCTCAAAGCCTCATTTAGTAACACAGCTCCAGAGAGCTAGACTATGCTGCCTACAAACATGGACCTCGTCGCAGGCTGAGGTCAATATGGATTAATAGGACAAAAATTAACAAGCTGGAGAAGGGCAACTTTGGCAAGTACGATATTTCCTAAAGGCTAGGCGGCTGCAATTGGCTGGTGCTTAAAGTGCTACACACTGTGGAAGACACTCGTGCAGCCAAAACCCAAATGCTTTCCAGCTTCCCCCCCCTCTTCCAGCAACAAACCTTGGGCAAGTACTTGTTTTTCTGGGCCTCGTTGCCGTTACGCACTAGCTGGTTGATACAAAGGTTTGAGTGGGCACCGTAACTAAGACCAACAGATGCTGACGCGCGAGAAATTTCCTCCATCACCAGCACATGGTCCAGATACCCCAAACCAGATCCACCGTATTCCACTGTAAAGAGAAGAGAAACCTCACGTCAACCACCATGGAGCATATCACACATGCACAAGATCCCTAGGGCCAGGCTGAGTCTTGAATGAGATCCAAGACATTTACAAGAGAGCTTCTAGTTTTGACTGACACTGCCCCGAGCTGGACACCTCCAGCTTTCACCAGTCTCTCTGAATTTCAGTTTTCTTATCTTAAAGGCACAGTGATGTTACTTCTTCAGCATCATCAATAATTTACTTTTCCAGCATAGTTTTATACATATAGCACGCATAAGGATACATCTAAAACTCTCCTGACACTTGCACAGTAGGTCCTCCTTGTCAACCATCCTTAAGGGCAACCTTAATATTAACCTGCCCGCTGCAAGCAGTACTGGAGCGTGATTGCTTTGTACTGCAAGAGGTGCAAGAAAAGAATCCTGCCAGACAACTTCTCAAATAATACAAACCACGGTGTGATTTAGGATGATGCTGCCCTTTCAAAATTACTCTTTAGATACGACATGCCTGTATCATTCCATGGTAGCTACGTATTTGCATTTCTTAACTGAGCTCTTTATAAAATAAATGGAAAATTACATCAAAGCAACACAGATTTCTTAGTCCTAAAAAGAAATCAAAAAACACTTATTTAAAACTCTCCCTTAAAAGACTCAATCCACTGGTGCCCAAATATGCCATTTAATGGAGCATATGCCCTCATAAGATTTGGCATTACCTTCACATCCTTAATCCCAATCTCCACCTCCTACAACAAAACCAGTGCCAATAAAGAAACTGCACATAGCTCTATGATCAAAAATAAGGCAAAAAATTCTGGGCATTGGAGGGTTTGAGAGGTAAATCTTTGGGGAAATCAAACAGGACAGGACTCATGAGGGGATGGCTTATTTATAGTGTGGGAAACTGCTGTAAGCCTCAGGCACAACATCAAAGAAGAAAGAAGGTAAGAGTGAGAAAAAACAGGAGCAGCAGTAAATTGGGAGGAGTAAAGAGAAAGAAAGCAGAAATACAGACTCTTTCAAGCAGACTCAGTGCCACTGAAAGAAACGCAGCGGCATTATTTCAACGCATTGCTATTCAGCTTGCTTCTGCAGAAGCCTTTGCACACGCACATCTAGAAACACAGACTTTACGATGGGGAAATAAAGGCCCCATTGGCTGCTTTTCTCCACTAAGGGCTTCTCCTCATTACACTGTGTTAGTGCATTCAGCATGACCATAGCAGCCTCAGTAATCTATAACATTAATCAAAACACTTTTCAACTAACCTGGACAAGGCTGAATAAGATTTACCCTGATTTTTTCTGACTGGTTGGATGTGGTCAGCTCTCCATTAGTTATCACCGCTTTTCATAGCATTGTTTTACACCCTCTAACTTCTATTAGAGATGGATGTTTCTTCTAGGATACTTTTATCTATAGCCCTCGTTCTTCAAAACTTGCAGCAAACGCTTCATATTGCAGAAGCGCAAACACGTTCCAGTTGCATACGTTATATCTGGAGAAACCATTTCTGAACAGTACTTTTAAATTGTAAAAGGTATTTTGTAATCGCCCAGAAGCCTAACAAGGAAGAAGGATTCCAATTCAGTGAAGAACAAAAAAGTTGCCAAAGAAAGATTTGAAAAAGATATGAAGATAGGAGCTTCTGGACAAAATGGATGCCAGATCACAGATGAGGCTGCTAGGAGCTGGAAAGGGTGAGTTTAAGTTGTCTCTCTTTTGTTTGAAGAATCACCCACCAGAAGGTAAAAGGTGGGAACAGACTTACCAGGAGCCGTGATCCCCAGAACTCCCAGTTCCCCAAGTTTCTTCCAAAACTCCTACAAATACAGAACAAGCAATCAGTCCAGATTCACAGCCAGGGCATCAGCACAAGAAGTTTTCCCAGGTAGCTCACAAGCCACACCAATTTACCTTACTCTTGTGATATCTCAGAGATAAATACATCGATACCTGGTCCTCCTGCAGCAGCAGCTCCATCCTTTGGACTAAGAACCCCCTCAAACGTCAGGACGTTATGCTACACATGGGAGTAGTCTGCTGAATTCAGTGACAGCTGACAAGCCTAAACTTAACTCTAGAAGGACAGGTCCTAAGAATTAACTCATTGCCCAGTTTAAGAAGAATTTTGATGAATTCAAACCTCCCATTAATTTCAAAAACTGTATTTCTAGGCTTTATCTCTTGCTAAAGATAATTTAGGATTTTACAACTTAAATTTATGCTTGCCTTTTAGCTCATGCACCCTTGTCACTGTGCTTTGGCAGCACCGTGCATCAGCCTGTGGTTGCTGCGGTGGTTAATATAAGTTATCCGTGACTGAAACCCTGGAAATACTTAGAATTGCTATTAGCTGGCAGTTTAACTCTTCTAGTAAAACAGCTGCTGATGAGGCCTCCTTGGGGGAGATTAAAAAATGGGAATTTTATTTTTTTTTTTTTTACAGCTGGGGTGCTGCCCACCTTGCAGGCTGTACTAGAAAAGTTACAAAAGCTGACCGCAACAGAGAATTTGTGAGCACTTTGGACTCGCGAAGCCAATGGAGCTGAACACACAAAGGCCACTCAAGTACAGAGCCTGTAGGTTTTCAAGACTGCCAGGACACCTCACACACTTGGGGCCTGGACAACATAGTTGGACACCTACACCGCAAAGCTCATCTGCTAGGGGACAAGCTGTCCTCCGTGACCGCTGACTCCTCCATTACCCAAATTTATCCTTCTGGCAACACCACCGCTCAAGTGACAGCCACATGATTCGAGGCACGTGCACCAGCTGCGTCTGGCACACGGCATCGTGGAGTAAGAGGGGAGCTATGACATAATGCAGTAGCAAAGGATGTCACCAACAAGGACCACACGTACACCAGAGGGGTCATCTCTTTGCTGCCACTTCAGCCTGCGGCCTCTCCTCCGCTACACGATGGACACGCAGGTGAATGCTCGCCGCACTGCCCCAGCATCCAGCGATAAGGTAATTACCAGTGAAGAGTCTCCGGAGACTTCAAAAAGTATTATTCAGTACCTCCGGATGACATCTGGCGCAGCAGACTAAATTTATATACTTAACTTCAAAGCCACGCATATATCCCTGAAAATGTCAACATCAGAGCTGTGGGAAATCCTAGCAGATGTTCTGAGCTTTTTAAGTCGTGCAGAGCTTATGCAAACCAATAGTTAGATCTCTCATTTTCATCAATCAAAGCACCCCGTTGCACAGAATTTGTTGTTTTTATTAAGAAGGCAAGTTTCAGCTTGATGGTCAAACAACTCCACGTTACAGCATTTGCACACAATATTTTCACAACGGATTTGAGAGGAAACTCGGATGTCCAAGAAACGGTCCTAGCTCAGAGAATACAAAGCACGTATTAGAGAAGGAGTCTGAACAGAGCCAAGCAGAAAAACCACAATGAGAATCCAAACAAGACCACTATCAATGCATTTTTTTTTTTTAATTGCTAGGTTCTGCCCCAGGTTGCTGAAAGCTGTTAGCAAAAGATAAAACAGGAAATAAAAAAAATTTTCTCTACGGCTTTCAAGTTTGAAAAGTTAACGCATATGTTCCTGTGGTGTGGACTGAGATTCTTTGTCTGGGCTAACGTACAGATCAAAGTACAGACAGGCTTTCACTACCATCTATTTTAAATGCACACATGAAATACTTGCCCGCAAGTCTTTGAATTCATTTTCCTGGTCAATCTGTTGGGCCTTCGGAGCCAAATGCTCTTGACAGAACTTTGTCATGGTCTGTCTAAGCTGGGAAAAGAGACGAGGAGAAACACATACATTACATCTCACGAATAATCAAATCATTGTTGTCTTCCTTAGGATACTGCCAACATCCCCCTGCCAGGCAATTCAAGAACTCCAGGATCCCAAACCCAGAAGCACAAGACCCTAAGGAAATTGATGTTTCAGGTGACCAGCTGAAAGACCACATGAAAGGTCCTTTTGCCTTTTAAAGAGAAGATACTGATGCATGGGTGCTCCTCTCGGCATTTAACCTTGCAGTCATACCCCAGCATGAGAGAATGCAACTTAACCACTGCCCGCACTAGGGCATCGGGGCATGGTTTTGGTCAGGAAGCTTTGAAAGCTGATGAACAGCCCTTATGATGTCTTAGCCCCATCCAGTAGCTGCTTATGGTTTCATTTAATTATATGCAGATGCCTGTAATAAGCATGCATGCTAATTAAAGTGTGTTAGTCTATCAAACTGGAACTACATTAGCTACCCAACTATTTTCTTCAGAGGGAAAATTTGATCAGGCAAGCACACTTGTTGCTCCAAGTGTTAAAAAGTGTCAGATTCTTTTTCTAAACTTTAAAATCTCAGTACTTACACACATGCATTCTGCAGCAGCCTATACACATACTAAGAAAACATAACCATATCTTTTTAAGCTTTTTTAATATAATGATTTAAAAACTTTGTCTAGATATTATGGTAGAGCTTACCAATACCATTTTTCCTTTTGGTTTTTTATTCCTACAAATTAACGCTGGCAAAGGAACAGTCGTAGAGACTGAAAGCCTCTGCTGCATAACCAAACCCTGCAGAAAGGGGAGAAGCAGCAAACCAAAATATGCCCAGGTTTCTCTGCCCTTCTCTGAACCCGCCAACCAAAGCAGCCTCTTTTTTCACAATTACAAAGATACGCTGGTTTCCACGGCCACCCAGACCTTGGATTCCAGAACCAGCAAGCAGGTTTCACCCATGTTGATTTTTTTTTTTTTTTTTTTAAGTTTTTAAACATTCGACAGGTTTCCACTGTTAGAAAGTTGACAGCAGGAAACTGAAGCATAAAACTTAAAACAAAAAAAGAACTTGAAGTCATAATAAAAAAAAAAAAGGAATCTTAATCAATTAGAGACTGAGGGACAGACATCCCTAATACTCTAAGCTTGTTTATAAGTTACAGTGCTGTTAATTCACTGCTTTGCTACCACTACTGAAGATTTATTTCTGAGCATTTTCAGCTTTTCCACCAGATAGATATGAACTACAAGAACATTTTCTTCCTTTGACCACCTGGTGAACGTAGAAGTGCAAAGAAACATCACGTTAATTTGAGTTGGTAAGGCCACAAACCATGAACACAACCCTGGTAACAAATAACTCTGTAGCAAGGAAGAGGTGAGAATGAAGAAGTTTATTTTGCACATCCGCATGCTTGCACTGTCATGGTTACCTAGAAAGCAAGGCTATAGCTCCAGACCCAAGAAGCACCAAGGAAAAGCGTGTCCTTGGCATAGGCCAGCCTGGACCAGCCCTCTGCAGACAAGACCCTTCACCCCACCCCCCGGGGTGGCGGGAATGAGCCCTTTGAGTGCTCTCGGTAGGCTGCTGGGGAACACGGTAAAGCAAAGAACTATTATCCTAAAGCTTAGCCCCCACCCCCATGGCGCAAAAGAAGCTGGGAAGAGCCGCCACGCTTCTTTCGGGCAGACCTGACGAGACCCGATGAGTTTGTTTCTTTGGCCATTTTGGATCACCATTTCTGCTCAGGCAGGCCCGATGCGAAGGCAGGGCAGTGTTTCACCGTGCGGAGGCCCCGTCCCCCG